GGCCTGGTGCATGAATTTGTGCACAGGTGGGGCCCAGCCAGCCTGTCCCGATGGGGGCCGATCAGGCTGGGCTGGTGACGGGGAGGAGCCACGGGTGGTTGGCCGGCTGGCCCCATCCTTGATCAGGGTTGGGGGCCCAGCTGGGTGCACTAGCTGAAAGGATCTGGGGGTTGTCTCCACTGGGGAAGGGATGAGTGTGCATTATGTGCAGGAATAAGGGTGTGCATGAACATGTATGTTCACCAGGATTGCGGCAGAGACTGTTAGTTGTCAGAATATTTGATCTTCCCTTTTTCAACAATAATAGACTTTCAACTGTTAACAGTTAACTGTTTACAGAACCATGGCAACATTTCCCCCAGCCTCTTTTGCAACTAGTGTTGTGGTTATGTGACCAAGTTCCAAGAGATGGAATAGAAGCATAAATAATGTGCATAATTCTGGGTGTGACCATAAAAGGAAATGCACATTTTCCCTTTCAGTTTCTTCCTCTCTCCACTGGCTGGATTGCACACAGAATGCCAAACTGTCTGCAGCAGCAAGATAGAAGAACCCAGGGCCGTTGGACATCTTTGCCTTACAATGCCAAGCTTTAACTTCTAAGAGAAATAAACTTCTATGTCATTTAAACCACTGACATTTAAGGTCTTTTCTTACACAGCTCAATCTTTATTCTAAAAAAAAAATGCCAAGGAAAACGGCAGATCTCATAAAGGGCAGAACCCAGTTAAATCTGGAGATTTGGGGGAAACATTCTGGAGAAGTAGAGTTTAATCTCTAATCTAAAGAATCACAGAAATTAGCCTGGAAAAGCTCCAACATGAGAACTAGCATAGGATAGTGAGGTACTGATGGAAATTAATATGGAAGGAGATAGAAGGTATCTCATGCTGAACTTGGAGAGATGAGCACAACCCAGATAATTTTGAGCACTGCAGGCATAAGATGGCTAAGGAAGGTGAAGAAGATGAAATGTCAAAAGTGAATTCCATATTTCTGGCCCGATCAACTATACAGATTGTAGAATCATTTTCTGAGAAAAGAAACAACAGAGAAATTGTAGGTTTTGGTGGAAAGATGAATTTACTTTTCGATATGTTAAATTTGAGGTGTTTGTAAGTAGGCAATGAGATATGTGGATCTGGTGGTCAGAATTAAGATCTTGGCTGGAAATATAAATTTTGGAGCCATTGGCAAATGAATGGTAAGTAAAGCTACAAGAATGGATAAGAACACCTAGGGTGAAAGTTTATACTGAGGAAAGAATATAATAACAAGTATCACATGATCTTACTCATATGTGGGATCTAATGAACAAAATAAACTCTTGAACAAAACAGATCCTGAGACACAGAAGCATGGAACAGACTGTTGAATCTCAGAGGGAAGGTGGGAGTAGGTGGGTGGGAAGAGATCAACCAAAGAACTTGTACGCCTATATGCATAATCCATGGACACAGACTTTAGGGTGGTAAAGGCCTGGGGCAGGGGCTGGGGTCGGCTAGAGGGGTTAATGGGGGGGAAAAAGGGGACATATGTAATACTTTCAACAATAAAGATGAAAAAACCTACCAAAAAAATACAATGGAAAAGAAGAGGGTCTAATATCCAACTCTGAAAGAATTCTTACACTATACAATTGAATATAAGAGAGGGAACTGACCAGGGAGATTAAGAAGAAATGGCCCAAGAGAAATAAAGGAAGCAGGCAAGTGTGTTGTCATGGAGACCAAAGTAAGATAGTGTTTCAGTAAGTAAAGAAGGGCCAACAATGTTGGGTGTTCATCCAGGATGAGCTCTGACAAGAGCCAGCAGGGTTTAACCACATGGAGATAATTGGTGACTTCAATGGGGGCAGTAAAGGCCCTGGACTGTGGGCATGGAATCCAAATTAGGGTAGGTTATATAGTGAGTGATGATGTGAGAAAAGAGACACTTTTTTCAAGAGGTTTATCTCCAAAGAGAGGCAGGGAGAGATTTGGTTCAGCCTCTGGCTCATTGAAGTCTACATGACCCTTCTAAAAAAAAACAAGCAAACAAACAAACCCACGAAAACCAGCAACCAACATATGTTGGCATGACTGGCTTAAAGACAAACACACACACACACACACACACACACAGACAGACAAACACAAACCTCTCTCTCCCTATCAGGTGAATTGGGGGTGATTTGACCAGGAACATAAATATAGGTTGCCCCTGTCCCATGCCCTCATGGAAAGGGAACAGTATCTGATTTTAAAACAGCCCTCGGTCGGTGAAATTCTCTCCCCGCACATATCCTCACAGTTTGCTCCTTTTTTAGGTCTTTGTTCAAACAGCACATCATTAGGGAGACCTCCCATAATCACTCTATTTAAAATTGCAACCCCCCCCTTACCTGCTTAATATTTCCCCATATTGTAAACACTTACTTCTTTTATTGTCTGTAATCCGCTTCTTGAATGTAAAATCCACCAGGAGAAAGTTTTTGTCATTTTGTTCAATGATCATTTCTGGCACATAAAAGGTGCTCAATAAATATTTGTTGAATGAATGGTTATAGTATCTTAGCATCCCCACAGATACAGACAGCAATACTAAGTATGAGCCCATCATTTGAAGTATAGATAGATGATCAATCCTTGATAGTGAATCTTCTTAACCATTGAGTCACATGTATCAAATAAAAAAGTTCAAGTGAAACAGTTTATACCTAGTGCTTATTAATGTGGATCCTGATAATGTTCATTGGGTCATTTCTTCTTCTTCAAGAGAGAAAAGGTATCTTTAGAGAAACGAGATGAACAATTCTCTGCAGTTGTGTGTCAAGACTGAAAGTCATTATCTGAAGAGAAAATGAATAAATCCTGGCAAAAAGAGAATATTAGTTCAGGAGTTATACCTTGGAAGTCTTTTTTGATTTCTGAGTCTATAAACCTTAGTTTACAAACAAAAAGGTAAGTCTGTAGTTTTAAGGGGAAAAATACAGTCCACTTAGGAAAACACAGGTGATATCAGAAGTAAAATAACTGTGGTAGATTTTTAGTTGTATCCCATTCTCTATTAGGGAATTATATGTCCTCACCCATTGCCATGTGGCTTGAAGTGAACCTGTATTCCTTATTTTTATAACAATGTTGAATAACAAACCATCCCAGTGGCTATAATAAGCGTCTATTTTTCTTCCGCAGAGGCATGCAAGTCTGCTGAGGTGGCTCTACTTCAGAAGATGGCTTTCCTGGGCTTGTCGGAAAAAGTCTGTCTCACCCTGCATAGAATTCTAAGTTGACAGTTTTATTTTGCACTTTAGAGTTGTCATTTCATTTTCTTTTGACTTGCATAGTTTCTAATGAGAAGTTACAAAATTTCTTTCTTTTTTTTTTAAAATATATTTTATTGATTTTTTACAGAGAGGAAGGGAGAGAGATAGAGAGTTAGAAACATCGATGAGAGAGAAACATCGATCAGCTGCCTCCTGCACATCTCCTACTGGGGATGTGCCCGCAACCCAGGTACATGCCCTTTGACCGGAATCGAACCTGGGACCTTTCAGTCCGCAGGCCGATGCTCTATCCACTGAGCCAAACCGGTTTCGGCTACAAAATTTCTTATTATCAGTTCTCCGTATATAATGTACCTTATAAAGGTACATATTCTCTTTATCACTGTTTTTCACCAGTGTGATTATGATTTATCCTATTGTTTCCTTTATAGTTATTCTACTTGGGTTTCTTTGACCTTCTTGGACCTATAGTTTATATGCTTCATTCAATTTGGAATACCTTTTTCCATTACTTCAAATATTTTTTCTTCACCCTCATCCCCTTTCCGGGGCTACAATTAGCCTCTTGTATATTGTCCCATATGTCATTGAGGCTCTGTCTTTTTTTTTCCTCTTCAGTCTATTTTGTCTCTGTGCTATATTTTGGATTGTTTCTATTGCTGTGTCTGCAAATTCATTATTATTATTATTATTATTATTATTACTTTTTGCAGTGCCTGATGTGGTAATGCTCCCACCCAGAGAGTCATGAAATTTCAGGTACTTTTCATCTCCAGAAATTCAACTTGTTTTGTCTTTTTAAACACACACACAACAACACACAAAAAATTCTTCAGTTTCTCTCCTGCCATCTTTTCCTTTAAATACTTGAGCACATTGAGTGCATTTATAATAGGTGTTTGAAGTCCTTGCCTAATAATGCCATCATTTTTGTCCTTTTTGGATGGTTCCATTGCTGGTGTGATATATTGTCTTATTCCTTGGCATGTCTATTAAGTTTTGACTGGATGCCTGGTATATTGAATTGAATGTTCTTGAATCCTAGGTTTTGTCCCAGCCTTTTGGAGGGAATTAGACATATTCAACTCCGGCTGCAGGGAACTCATGATTCCTAGTCCTGTGTGAGCTCTGAGAAGTGTATGGCTTCCTCCTCCCCCAAAATTGTTCTTTCCGGGCCTTGTGGAGTTTCCGGTGACCTAGTCACTAATTTTTATTCTAATAAAGATTCCGGGGTATTTCCACGTAGATTTCTGAAACTCGTTCTCCATGAACTCCAACTCATCAATTCCAACCAGTTGGCCTACAAACCCCCTAAACTCACCGGTCTTCTCAGTTTCCCTCAGCCTCTGAGTTCCTCTTCTCTGCCCCTCACACTGGAAATTACCTCCAGAGGGTGACAGAGGGGTCACCTTGTTTCTTTCCTGTCAGGTACAACAGTCCAGACTGCTTGCTGCCAGTTGTCTGAAAACAATTGTTTCATACATTATGTTCAGGTTTTTTTAGTTTTTTTTAGTAAGTCCAGACCCATTTCTTCTTGTCCTGAAGAAGACGTCTTATTTTGTTTGCTATGGTTAAATTTCACCTCTCCTTCTCAGAAAACGTTGATGGGGTCGTTTTCTCTGTGGTGTCCTCTGACTGGGGTCTAGACCCGGGAATAACTTCAATAGGAGCCCGCGCGTTCCGTGAGCGCCGGCTCACTGCGCCTGCGCGGCGTGTAGACGCCGCACGCTCCCGGAAGTGGGAGGTGTCTGCTCGAGTTTGTGTGGCCGCCGCCGCGGGAACAGCAGCCGGTAGTTTTTCCACGTAGAGGGGCGAGGTCTTCGAGTCTGGCGGCGTGAGAGTGAGCGAGTGTCGGTTTCCACAGCCCTCTTCTTACGTGACACCCGGCATGGAGGCTGATCAGCGCCTGCAGCCTGGCGGCAAGGCCGTGGCTCCCGCGCGGCAGGAGTCGCCGCGGTCCGAGTCCGGGGAGGAGCCGCAGCTCCGGCATCCCGAGGTGAGCAGCCCGCCGCGCCCGCGCGCCCCTTTCTTCCTGGGTGTTCCGCGGGGTCCGCAGCCTGCGCGCCCTCTGACCGCAGCCCGGACGCTTTTTCTGTCCCAGCTCCGGAGCCTTTCCCCGGGGTGGTTGTCCTAGAGCTCTCGCCGGTCCGAATTGCCTCCTGGGTGGGAGTAAACAGGCCAGGAGGGAAGCACGTGACCCGGGGCTTGAGAAGTTGGGTGGGAATTCCCACCTGAACGTGTAGTGCACACTGTTGCTGTAGTCGTTCTCCCCAGCCTGTATCGGTAATTGGCAGGCTGTGTGTTTTTCTAAAAATCACACTGTGTGTATGTCACTGGGGACCTTTAGGCCCATCTCCTTCCTTCCAGCCTTTGGTGTCTGCTAGAGCTTTGTCCTTTATTTTTGTCCATTTATTACTATCTCATGTAGACATACGCGTGACTAATTTTTTTAATGACTGCGACGGTTCACTGGTAGTTAGAACGGCACAATTGTGAAAACGGACTTAGGAGCTTCGTTATTCATCTTCTTGAATGAATCTAGTTCCTGTGACCAGCGCTGCGGATTGTGAAACGATCTAATACTAAAATTCGTCATTTTCTGTTACTAACAAATTCATGTTGAGTGCCTCCTGGAGTGATGCTCTACTTTCAAGAGGCTTCCTGGCTAGTGCTGCTTCCATCCCGCAGCTAATTCTGCAAGTAGCAGCTGGAATGATTTTTTAAAAAAATAACCCATCGGGCCGGGTTGCTCCCCTCTTTCGTCTTCAGTTTGTGGCCCCGCAGGCGTGGTTCCTGTGTCCATAGTGACTGCTTCCGCACACAGTTCTTCCCTTTTGCTCCCAGGCGCCTGGCCGCTTGGCCTTTACGGGTTGCCTATGCCCCGCATGCTCTTCCTGGGGGTTTTGTACAGTGATCTCGTTCTCCTTTACCTGCTACTTTGTAAGAAGGTCTTCCAGGGGCCTTCTCTCTAGAGACCCATTCTTCTTTCACCTCATTTCCCTCTTCAGTCTGTGGCACTGCCAACAACTTCATCATGTAAGTTAGTTTAAGAATAATTTTTAAAGTTTATTTTAGTAAAAAGTAGAATTGAATATGCTTCATGATATTTCCGTCTTGAAACTTGGAGCTATGGTGACGTAAGGCCTGGGTCTGTGTTCCAGATTGGTTTCAGTGACTGTCATATTTGTTAAAGAACTATTGTTGGATACTCTTAATATGATGATGTGGGTTGTTGTTGTTTTTTTATTCTCAAGCAGAGTTTGTTGTTGTTGTTGGAAGTTAGCTAAGTAAATTTCCATTATTCCTAATATCAATTGTGTTTGTAAACGAGTGTTGCATTTTTATATTTTTAACAAGTAGGTTTAAATTCCATCAGAACTCTTCCTTTGAAAGAGTAGTAGTCCAGTTAAATTCACTATTTTAAGGTGTTTTTTTAGTGTCTGAATGCAGTTTTGTTTTTAACATATTTTTAATTGATTTCAGAAGGAAGGGAGAGGGAGAGAGAGATAGGAACATCAATGAAGAGAGAGAATCGTTGATCGGCTGCCTCCTACATGCCCCGCATGTGCTCTGACCAGAAATCAAACAGGAAGGAGATGGGCCTAAAGGTCCCCAGTGACATACACACAGTGCGGGGCATGTAGAGCCAGCAACCCGGCATGTGCTCTGACCAGAAATCAAACAGCGACCTCCTGATTCCTAGGTCTGACACTCAACCACAAAAACAAAAAACAAAACAAAACAAAAACACAAAAAAATATTTTTAAGAAAAGAAGAAAGGTTTTTTAACATCATAATATAGTTATCCTGAATAACTGTTACATGTGACTTTTGGAAATTGTCTGCTTGAAGCTGAATACATTTTCTTTTTTGCCTTGGGCACTAGGAAATTTTGAATTAGATTTATAGTCTATTGCTGGGGTCCAACCCCAGCAGGTCCAGGGGTCCCCAAAGGTGTGGACGGAGTCGGCGAAGAAGGAATGACATGGAGACAGCGTTCAGTTGATCAGCAGCCTTGCCAGGATCTCTAGCCACAATCTCCAGCCAAGTTCTGTGTCCATGTTCTCTCGCTAGGTTCTCCAGCCAGGTTCGGTTTAGGTTCTCCAGCCAGGTTCTGTCCAGGTTCTCCAACCAAGTTCTGTAGCCAGGTTCTGTCCAGGATCTTTTGCCATGTTCTCTCCAGCGAAGTTCTTCTGTCTCTAGGTTCTGTGTAGGGTCTGTCTTCTAAGTTCTGTGTCTTGTTGTCTTGTTACATCTGTATTTATACCAGTTGATTCAATCCTATCAATCTCTATTCCAAAGGTTAGGGCGTTTCTTATTTCCATTCAAGGGAGTAAAGATTATGTAGCTTAAGTGTGATTGTTCATAGTTAAAGTGATTAATTACGCGCCTGGTGAAGGGGTTTTATTCCCGCCCTAACTTCAGGGGAAAATCTCTACCTGGGGAAACAACCTTTCTTGGAGAGGTGACCTTGGTTAAAACACATAGTGCCAAGAAGGTGAGCAAACATATTAAGAACAGTATGCCATATATGCCAGGTCCCTTGAAACAGCAAGGATGGACCAGCTCCCAGCAGTCTATGTTGTTTTTATATTGGGCAATTTCTGTTAGCATTGTGAAATGAAGTCAGGTGAAAAAATTCTCAGGAAGTCATTGCTTTATACATGCATAATGTTGTAATGAGTCATTTAAAAACTAGTTTTTAAATTTTAGAATATTGTTAGTGAGAAGGTCTGTTCTATATCTGTGGTAGTAATAGTAAAATTACCACTTATTAATAGCCAAGGTGGGTATGGTATTAGGAGCCTGCTACACATAATCTCATTTGTTCCTTATAATAATCGTGCCTAAATACTATTTACCATTACCATTACCATTTGAGACAATTGTTATTATACTTTGTTTTATAGATAAGGAAATGGAGAATCAGAGGTTAATTAGTAACTACCTAAGGTCATGCTGCTAGTAAATGGTCAGCTGTGGCTCTGCTCTGTACTCTCAACATCAGTGCTCTTTTTACTTGGCTTCATTGTTTATAAGGAACTTCTTGACTCAGGAGAGAACAGCCTCAATTGTATTGGAAACACATCTCTTCCTATCCTGCCTTCCTTTCAGTGATTGCAACAGGCATGTTTCATTGAACATGGAGCACAGAGACCCCATCTTCAGATGTTTGAATCTTTAAGATGCTTGTACTAATTTTAAACTATATCTTTTTCTTTTTTTGGTAGAAAAAGCAACGATGTAGGTATGATGGCCAAGAAACAAAAGGATCTAAGTTCATTACCTCCAATTCAAGTGATTTCAGTGACCCAGTTTACAAAGAGATTGCTATTACAAATGGTTGCATTAATAGAATGAGTAAGGAAGAACTCAGAGCTAAACTTTCAGAATTCAAGCTTGAAACCAGGTAAATAAAATTATAAATATAGTACATGCTCATCCTAGAAAATCTTAAAAACACTGAAAAAAGTTAAAAATAATCTTACCATAAAGAAATAGCCGTTATTAAAAATTCAAGTAACAACTGTAATTTATATTCTTGTCTGTACTTGAACCTTTGTGTGCAACTCTTTTTTTTTTTTTTTCTGTCAGTCTTTTAGATGATTGACTAGGACTGGGGAGTCGAAGTCTGAATATTTTGACAGCCTACCAGTAGTGTATAGGAATATCTATCTTAATATACCAAGTATGTTTTAAGTTCTTTCAGTTGCTCATTTGGTCACTGGATAATATTTTATAATGAGATTGAATAATTTCTTTTGCCCATATGTATTACTAGAGGCCTAGTGCATGCAATTCGTGCACGGGTAGGGTCCTAGGCCTGACCGGCTTTCAGGGCCAATCAGGGCCTTCTGGCTGCTGGCTGGGGCTTTCCTTCCCTGGTTACCGGCTGGGGCCTTCCTTCGTTCTATGCCGCCCCCTGGTGGTCAGCGCACATCATAGCGAGCGATCAAACTCCCGGTCTCCCTGTCGAACCTCCGACAGGACACTTTGCATATTAGCCTTTTATATAGATAGACTAGAAAATTCATGCACTGGAGGACGGGGTCCCTCAGCCTGGCCTGCCCCTCTCACAGTCCGGGAGCTCTCAGGGATGGGAGGCGACCCGGCGATCAGGGGAAGGCAACACCCCCATCGCACCTCTGCTGCTGCCACTGCTGGCAGCGCAAGCCTCGGCTGGCCCTGGTTACCTGAGCCTCGGGCGGCCTGGGCAGCTGGGCAGCCACCATCCGAGGCTTGCCTTGCACCTCAGGCCGCCTGGGCGGCTGGGGAGCTGAGGGGACTGGGGGACTCCAGAGGCAGGTGCGCGGAGATGAAGGGATTGGGGGACTCTGGAGGCAGGTGCACAGAGATGAGGAGACTGGGCGCCACCATCTTGAGGTTGTGGGCGCTGTCATCTTTGAGGGTGTTGCAGTCAATTAGCATATTCTCTCCTTATTGGCTGTGGGCGCCGCCATCTTTGAGGGTGGGTAGTCAGTTAGCCAATAAATAAATATATTAAGGTATTTTGTTTTAAAACAACTAACTGGCTAATTATCAATATTTTCATGGGCAGGGTTGCTTTTCCGTGGTAGTTTAGAAAGGAAAACAAAAGTTAAAAACATTTTTTTTAGTAGTCACTAATTGCTGATGTGACCAAAATACCTTACTTGTCCCTACACATTAATTAATAAGATCTCATTTTTACTGCAATTATGCATTTGCAAGCCATTTATAGGACTCAACCAATAGGTACTGAGGGAAGTCTGAGCACTGGTTGTTACTCTTAATTTTTTTGAAGAAATACATACTGTTTGAAGAAGGTGGGAGACCACCATTACCAGCCATTGTTACCTATTTAGAATAAGCATTTCCCACCCCCTATTTGTGGAACATGTATTTTAAAAATATCTGTAATACTGAAATCTACTAAATCATATTCTATCCATGGTAAATTAAGAAAGCTACATCTAATTAAGAACTTACTGAGTATCACAATGTTTATTTGGACACAGGTCACTCTAGGGCAGTGATGGCGAACCTATGACACGCATGTCAGAGGCACGCGAACTCATTTATTTGGTTGATTTTTCTTTGTTAAATGGCATTTAAATATGTAAAATAAATATCAAAAATATAAGTCTTTGTTTTACTATGGTTGCAAATATCAAAAAATTTCTATATGTGACACGGCACCAGAGTTAAGTTAGGGTTTTTCAAAATGCTGACACGCCGAGCTCAAAAGGTTCGCCATCACTGCTCTAGGGTATCTTTTTTTTTTAATGTATTGATTTTGAGAGAGAAATATTGATTTGTTGTTCCACTATAAATAAATGGAACATAAATAGCATTCATTGGTTTAGTCTTGTATGTGCTCTGACTGGCGATTGAACCATGACCTAGACCAGTGATGGCAAACATTTTGAGCTCGGTGTGTCAGCATTTTGAAAAACCCTAACTTAACTCTGGTGCCGTGTCACATACAGAAAATTTTTGATATTTGCAACCATAGTAAAACAAAGGCTTATATTTTTGATATTTATTTTATATATTTAAATGCCATTTAACAAAGAAAAATCAACCAAAAAAATGAGTTCGTGTGTCACCTCTGACACGCGTGTCATAGGTTCGCCATCACTGCCCTAGGCGAATCGGGATGCTGCTCCCGACTGAACTACCCTGCCAGGGCCTAAGGTGCCTTCTGAATTAGTTTTTCTAGTTAATTAACTAACAGATATTCAGGTTTGTATGCTAGGCACATATGTTTTCATATTCATATGGACTTTTTTAGTTGTTTAATGTGCAAAAACCAAAAGAAAGAGATAGCACAATATGTTCAATTTACTTGAATTTTTATATTCTGAAATTTATATTTGGCTAGTAGAATAAGTCAATATTATTTTCAGTTTTTGTGTCATGTATGTCATCTTAATCTTAAAACAATATGGCTATGTAGGTGGTGTATACTGGCAAGGCTTACGGTTCCAAGTACTAGAATATATTGAAGAAAAAATGCTCTTACATACTACAAAATGAAAAGGTACTTGCAAAAGAAAATATTCATGCTGTATTAAACATATATTTTAATTTGTTCTTTGCTAAATGAGCTTCGAGTCTTGTTTTCTTTACATATATTTTAGTTAACATTTACTAAATTATGCTGTCACTGTAGTTGTTCAATCCAGTGACATCAGGTAAGAGTTCAGATTCTTGACCATGAAATCACCTAAGAGTTAATTTTATTATTTTCCCTAGAGGAGTAAAGGATGTACTAAAGAAGAGGCTGAAAAACTATTATAAGAAGCAGAAGCTGATGTTGAAAGAGGACAATTGTGCTGATAGTTACTACGACTACATTTGTATTATTGACTTTGAAGCTACTTGTGAAGAGGGTAACCCACCCGAGTTCATACATGAAATAATTGAATTTCCTGTTGTTTTACTAAATACTGGTACCTTAGAAATAGTAAGTGAATTGTTATATTTTAATTTTACTTTTAGCAGTAACTATTCTGGGATTGGTTAGTAAGGCAAAGGATCTCAATTGCTGTTTCAGTTAGAATTAGAATTCTAAGTGGGCCTTTTGCTCTTGCGGTGTGCTTTGTATCAGCTTGATTAATAGAAAAGCTATAATAAAATATTTTAGAGTCTGCTTTCTCTTTTTCCAGTAGCTAAAATTATAGTGTTTTTTCTGTTTGCTTAGAACACATATCTGGCTAGACTTCAGAATCTCCTGGGTTGTGAAAAAAAGTGCTGATGCCTGGCCCTTATCCCAGAGATTCTGGATTAGTTGTTCTATGCTGGAGTCCCTGATGTCAATAATTTTTAAAGCTTCTCAGTTAATATGCAGTCAGGGCTGAGAACCACTGCTATAGGCTAATGTATCCTCTGATCTCTGAAAATGATAATTTACAGAAATCACCTTTCAACTTAGAACTGGCCATCTTTCTGGTGATAAGTTTATGGGAGAAACAACTCTCATAACCTAGGCTTCTTAGCCATGTGAATATGTATGTGCTTTAGATACTAGTTATCCATGTTACTA